CATACGCTATGTCAACCTACACAATACAGAGAGAGGATCTTGCTGTGAGAGGCAAATGGTACTCTCATCTTTTCGGCAGCAAGACTAATTCGACGGTAAGGCACTCATCTCATCTGTTCTCTCTTCTCTCTTCTCTCTTCTCTTCCTTGTTCCTAAAACCCTTGTTTCGGCTCTCTCTCGCTCTCGCTGTCACTCTCGCATTCGGTGTAGTTGGCGGTGTGATTGGAGTGGCTGTGGGTAATTTCACTCTACCTAAAACCCTAATCCTACAAAGAAAGAGAAAAGAATTTGAAGAACAATCAGAAAATCTGGAGGTATTCCTCTTTCAATTAATTATTTTTGAAACCCTCCCTCTCCTGAAACCCTATTTTCTCTCTCTGAAATCGTCCCTCTTGTAAAATCCTCTTCTCTCTAATTTTCCCCCCCTTTTCTCTGTGTAGGGTTCTCTTAGAATTCTGATTCCAATCTTTATTGGCTCTTACAGATTTGGTATTTTTACATTTGAAATGAGGCTTGCTAAAATTTTATTTTATTTTGTTTTTTCATATATTTCAGTTGACAAGTAATGAAATAATCGATGAATATTCTCAGGCATTAGGCTTTTTACATTGATTAGTGTAGTATTTTGGAGCCATACTTTTGCTTCTAGGGTGTAAAAAATGTCATATTGTTTTGGCATTAGATTTATAGATCTAATTATGTTCTTTGGATTTTGATGATGTTTGTAAAAATGCATTAAATTGTTAGCAATTTAAACAAAAGTATTTTGGAACTATATTTTCATTGTGAAAACTCGTGATTGATTTAATTCATTTGCGCCGCTGTTTGTTTTCGATGAAAATAGTAACAGAAACAAAAAACCAAAATTTGAAATTTTTTTCAGTCTTCGTCCTGTCATGATAATGCAATTATTTTGGTTGAATTAAGGCAAAAACTATATTCTTGTATTACATTTTCGTTTCGTTACAAATGTATTGTCGTTAATTTTTTTCTTGTTACTGCGAACTTGAATGAATTTGAATTCAATTCTAAATGGCAACACTGAATTTTGTTCTGTTTGTGATCTATGTTAATTGAGAAAAATTAAACATATCTGAAAAATGTTACACAGCACTCTGATTGTGAATTTTTGAGCTTTCCCATTAGGTTGAAGTTATACTGGTTGATTATGTGTGTTCTCTCTTACTGTCATGGAATTTAATGTGCCATCTGTACTTTGGGAATGGCAGTTGCTCTTGGTCGTCTTTACCATGCAAATGGAGTTAAACTCTTTGTTCTTGATGCTCATTATCTCATATAATTTTTGGATTTCATTGGAACCTATCATATCGTATAAAACGTAGTTACAATTCCCGTAAAAGTATAAAACTTGGTTCCAAAATGGTATCTTTATGCCAGGTAGAATTGCAGTGGCAGTAATTGTGAGAGGGGTTGAAGGTTTCATATCTCGTTGACTGTTGTGGTTATCTTAGTGTTTGTAACTGATTATGAGTTGCCGAAGGTAGGGTAAGGTGGTTTACTTTGAAGAAGTGATATTGTAATACTGAAGTTCATTTGTGGTGTTGGGTTAGGGTAGTGCCTAAATGGTGGTGGTAATGATGGCTATTGTTGTGACAATACATTGTGGTTCTTGAGATGATGCTAGCATTTTTGTAAGAGAGGCCATAGAGACCCGAGCTTATAGCAGGGGATTCTTTGAAGGAAGAAAGATTGGCATTGACAAGACTATGGAGAAGCTGGGCGACGACGTTTGCTGATGTGAAAACTATGGATTCAAGCACTAATGGATAAAAGCACTTCCAACAGTAAGTGTGGATTATGCACTGCTATTATACCAGAGTTGCATAATGCCATTTACGAAGCTGAGAAAACGGATGATGAGGAGGAGGCCACTAACCCTAAGAAAAGCTAATTAGCGTAGTAAACACCGGTTTGATTCGTGGGTTCCCCAATAAGTAGGACGTCAATCTGCCTTACGATAAATGTACCTGTAATGTAATTTGAAATTATAATGATGTTTAATAAAATTCAATTACGTTTGTTTGCATTCGAAAGACTAATTATGTCTCGAAATTACATACTGTAATTAACAATGATATTTTATAGGATGCTCCGAATTCGGAGGCTTAAGTGATGGCCTTTCGTGCCAAGCACGAAGAGCGCTCTGAATTCGGAGGCTTAAGTGACGGCACTTCGTGCCGAGCACCACAAATAAATCTCCCTCTAAATTTGGAAGCTGAATAAAAGTAAGGCAATCAAAGTTAAATAAATAACGAAGTAAAATAACATCTTGTATCATCAATTGATTGTACGTATACAAGGTAGTAATATACACAAAAGCCAAAAAACAGCATAGGTTTGTATCATCAATTGAGGGTTAAAGAAATTAACATAACCATCAATACTAAAATTTGCGGAGATGAGTAGAATTTGAAGGGCGGGTTGCAGTTCATGTCTGAGAGTCAATACGTCTCTGCCCCGACAATGGAATCGATCTAGTATGGGCTGTCCCAATTCGGGCCGAGTTTACTGTCCGCAGGATTCTTAGTAGCGTGTAGTACTTTTTTAAGGACCAACTCTCCAGGAGTATACCAGCATAGATGCACTCATTGATTGTTTACCTTAGCAAGTTACTACTAATATCATGCCATAGTCACAAGGGCCCGATCTCGATGTTCTTCAATTAAATCCATATCCAAGGCTAACATCATATGATTTCGGCGTGTATCAAAAGCCCTCGATCTAAGGGTTGGTAAGCCAATCTCTAGAGGGATGATAGCTTCATTGCCAAAACACAAGACAAATGATGTCTCCCCCATAGATCGTCTTGGCGTAGTGCGATGGACCCAGAATACACTCGACAATTCCTCAACCCACTTGTCCTTGGCCTTTTCCAAACTTTTTTTGATGTCGTCCAGGACTACTTTACTAGAAGCCTTTACCTAGCTGTTACTCTGCAGTTAAGTTGGTGATGAAAAATAGGGTCGAATGCTATACATGTCGCACCACTCGTGGTAAATGTTGCAATCGAACTAAGTGTTGTTATCTAAAATAAGCACCCTAGGGATGCTGATTGCTGTCAATGGTTCTGTTTCAACCCACTTTGTGAAATAGTCAGTAGCAACAGTTAAGAACCATTTATTGCCTGGAGCTTTTGGCAGTGGCCCAACTATGTCCAATTCCTATTGAGCAAAAAGCCAAGGGCTAGTCACGGAGTTCAGTTCTTCGGTGGGCAAGTGTGTTAATGGAGAGAACTTCTGGCACTGTTCGCATTTCTTAACATAATGTTCAATGTCGGTATGCATAGTCGGCCACCAATACCCTTGGGTAATGGCTTGGTAAGCCAATGATCAACCTCTTGAGTGAGCGCTACAACTGCCTTTATGTATCTCAGCCAAAAAATCCTCAATCTTATCCAGATGAACACATTCCAAGTAAAGCCTAGAGAGAGGTTTTTTTTTTATTATAAAGTTTTCCTTGAAGATCCAAATAATACCTCAAAGCCTTATTCCGTAGCCTGTGAGCTTCCTTCTTATCCTCTGGCAATTGTTTCGAAGCAAGAAATGCAGTAATGAGATCCATCAATCTCGGCCCCCTTTGGATGGTGTTCACAACGGGATATTTGGGGATACTAATACTCGGCTTCGGAATGAAGCCCATTTCAATGGTGCGCTTAACTTCTGTGTTCACAACCAAAACTAAACAGGTGAGAGCATCGACTTGTTTTGATCACGAGTAATCTAATTTACTTCATGGCTATCAAATTTCACGAGTAAGGAGTTGGCTATCTTCATATAGGCTCTCATGTGATCATTTTTAGCTACATATTCACCCTTTAATTGGTTTATGACCAGTTTGGAGTCACAAAAGGTTTGCAACCATCTATCTCCTATTTGAAGCGAGATTTTAAGGCTGACCAATAGGGCTTCGTAGTTGGCCTTGTTGTTTGAGGCATCAAAGCCGAGTTTAACCAATTGTTCTATCACTGCTCCTTCGGGGGTCATAATAACTACTCCTGCCCCATTACCGCGCTAGTTGGATGACCTGTCATAATACAACTGCTAGATATCCCCGACATATATTCTATATTTCGGCTGTGATTGGGGGGCCGGCGGGTCTTGAAGGTTTAACTCAGCATTTAAAGTAGGCGTAGTAAACTTGACAACAAAGTCGGACGAGACTTGCCCCTTGATAGCCGTCCTTTGTGAAAACTAGAGGTTGTGTTGTTCAAGTTCCAACATCCATTTGGAAACTTGTCTCGATGATTCTGCTTGGCAAAGGACTGAACGAAGGGGGTGATTCGTTAACACCTTAATGGTATAGACTTGAAAGTAGTTGTAGACACCCCATTTTTGACCGACCTTAAGACTCAGGCGTCACCGATTGAGCGCTTGGTCTTCCAGCATTTTGTCTAATAGTTCCACTGCAATAAGTAATCGTGAAGCAAGACAGAATAGTAGAGACTATTGTGGGATGCTTTTTCAAGACGCAGTTCTAGAAGGCTTATTTTTTTATATATTTTTTTTGAAAATTAGTTCTAGAAGGCTTATTGATTCCCAAACATTTGTTTTCTCGACTGATGATGATAATAATTATTGCGTTATGAAATTTTATGACAGTCACAGCTTTTGGTTAAAAGGAACCAAGGGCATTGAGCTTGTAATTTATTCTTTTTTGTATTACTATTTATTGTGGGTTTTATGGTTAGAGAGAAATGCAAGATTTTTTCAAGATAATTCAAAAGATATTGGGTAGTTTATGTGATAAAATCTGTTATTTGGCTTCTTTTGGGTGTGTTAGTTTCAGCACCATTTAAAGGAGTTCCTTTGTTTTCTATTAGTAGTAATTGGAGGGCTGTGTGCCACATGTATCTTCATTGTTTTTTTTTTTTTCCATTGTTGTCTTTGGAGAATCTCCCTTATCTTTCTTTTTTGCTTTGGGCATTCTATCTGTTTTCTTTGTAATTAGTACGTCCTTTTTGTTGCTGAATGATAAAAAAAGAAATGTTTATTAATCTGTAGTATGTGTTTTTTTCTTGTTCTTGACGTTTTAATAGTTGACTTATCTTTATGTCATGATTAATTAATTGAATAGGTTGGAAGCTGCCGTGCTGGATCTGGTTGCAGATGATAGTGGTGGCATGCAGAAACAAAAATCTAGATTCCACTGGGATAAGGTATATCTTGTGGATGTTTATTTTTTTTGTTTTTCTTTCAAACTATCTCCTTTTAAATTGTGTGAATCTGTTTGCTGGCAGAGGAGTAAGAAGTACATCAAGTTAAACAATGGGGACCATGTGACAGCTAGTGGAAAGGTATTTTATCAAAGATCTTTGCAGTTTTACAAATATATAAAGCTTTTTTATTGTTATAATTGGTATATAGAAGAAATAGGTGTAGGGGAGATGCTTTGCTTCTTGAAATTAGGTGTAAAGTGGTTTTCTTGTTGAACATATTTATTTGCAGTCTACTGAGTGTTAAAGATGTTCTATTTTTTGCTAAGAGTGTTGAATTGTTAAAGATTTGTGGAGTTTGCAGCTTCAAACTTCTTCCTATGACGGGATAATGTGGAGTTTTCTATTGGGGTTCATTATGGGCAGGTTCTATTAGACATTACCGAGTCCTTAGTGATTGTGAAATTGAATTTGAACCTTAGGAAAGAGTAGCTGTTCAAAAATTAGTCTTGATGTATTTACTTCATTGCTTGTGGATAACTCTTCATCTTCTTTTTCGTTCTTTATAATTTTGAATTCTATTGAAAATATTGGAATCATGCTTAACAATGGAAAGAATTGTTATTTGTGTTATTATAAAGTTAGTATTTTGAATTGTACCCCAGACACATGCACATATTTTTTTGAATGATATGCTGTCCATTTTCTAATATATCTTTATGATAAGAAACTGGTCTTATGAGATGACTCTCAAGTATATGAAATTACTTTTATTTGTTTGGCGTGTGATACATTGCTTTATGTTGCTTTAGTTGTGAATAGCATGTTGGATGCACCTTAATAAGTGATTTGATTTTATAGGGGGAAAAAGTGGTTTCGTTCTATCCATGGCTAGAACTAATTTTGCTTACTTGTCTTGGTGTGAAGGTTATTTGGGATTATTTACTCTTTTTGTCTTTCAATGGTGAGCAGATAAAGACAGAGGGTGGTGCAAAAGTAACAGTTAACAAAACTGGCATATACAAGAGGTGAAAAGAGCGGTCACATAATAAAATATCCCTTAAAGGATCCAGTTATGAGGGCAATGCTGAAGAATCCCAAAGTTTTTCAGGTGAGTGCTTTAAAATCAGAAACTATTTGTATTCATTCGGGCTCTTGTTCTTTTGAATTTGGCTATTCTGTAATTCTGGAGTTAACACAACTGAGAGAAGTTGTAGGTTTTTGTATGTAAATTGCTGACAGACTGTTTATAGATTCTTCTGGGAGTGAGCAACTATAGGAAACATTTGGCCTTTTTTTTTTTAACTAAATGAAATATGTGTTTTGACTTATTTTGTGAAGATACACCTATTTTTGCAGAAATCTTGCAATTACTCTTGACTGAATTGTTGCATTTGGTGCAATAGATTGATCACTTGTTTCGAACAATGTAAATAAGAGCTAAGGGAATTATATGGTTGACACATTGTGTAGAAAAGCTGTTAATCTGATCTGAGAAGTTTTTGTTGGATCAATTGTTAAGAGCCTTTTGCTTTATAGGAAAGACTACTTTACACATTAAGAAAAATATGCATATTTTATTTTTTGATTATGATTTATTATGATTGGCATGCAAAAGTTCTCATTTGTATTTCAGGATCTGCCATAGGATTCAAATTGGACAGCCTACTTAAGTTGTCTGCTGTTCGTGCAAGGAACAATAAAATGACATTGATGCATTAGCGACCTCAGGAGCTTGATTTATGCCCAGGAGTAGGCATACAATGTTTTCTGTAAAAGAGAACAATTTAGAAATATGCTTGAAAGGAAAAATGCTGACTCTTCTTTTTGTAAAGGAATTATTGGATCTTCGTAGATGTACATAATTCTAGTTTCATGACAAAACTAGTGTATGTTTGTTGGCAGTGATGCTGAGATATAAAATAAAGGGGATTTGCCAATACTGAAATTTTAATCTTAGTGGAAAATTCAGCAGTAAATTTGGTTTGATTTTCTTTTGTTAAAATCTGCAAGTTCTTGCTTAGTTAAGTATACCTACACATTTATCTTGCAGGGAAGAAGTGCAGATTCATTGTCTCAGTATTTTGGGGATCCAGCTAGGTGCCCTTTTGAACAAGGTTTGGTTTTATTTTCCACATTTACGTACTTATTTTTCTGTTGCTGTCAAGTAAGGAAGTTCACTACATTTCTTTTCTATTTGATCTGCCACATTGATTATGTTAGAGATGTATCTGTATGTAGGTTAGATTAGATGATGGAAGTGAAAATGCTTACATTTCAAGGTAGCCCTCAACATGATCTTGCTCACATTATAGTAACATAATGTAAATAACGAAAGGATTTTTAAAGTGACCATAGTGTATAGCAAAACAGCCAATAGTAGACATAGAAGAGAGGAAGTATTACCAGTCTCAATAAATCTCCATGTTTTTTGTCCTCTGCTTCAATGACTATGTCCAGTATACCTCCAACCGTGTGACTGGTAATGCAGAAATAGCAGATTATATCATTTAGTATGTCTAAAACTGTATTATATGATTGTTAATCTACAAGGACAATACAGTAAGATTAATTTCCAAATGTGTGATGTATATTCATGGGATTTGAAGAGACAGTGTTCAGTGAATAAAGTAAGGTTACAGTATATTCTTAGTTTGGTACTCTTTACACTTGTTGGATTGACATAAAAACACAAATTTGGCACCTTGATTTGCGAACTTTAGCTTTAAAGCATCATCATCATTATCATGACCTTGGCTTTCAGGTGGAAGTTACAGTAACATCCAATTTAGTTGGCGAACACGAACTAGAATTTGCATTAGGATTGCACGAGGACATGCCATTCTTTCAGGTGGACATACTACATATCGTTCATCGAGATATCAAAGCTAGCAATATTCTCCTTGACAAAGACTTGACACCTAAAATTTCAGATTTTGGTCTACCAAAACTTATCCCAGCCAACATGAGTCATGTCAGTACCCGTGTGGCAGGAACGACATAAGTTCTAACAATAATGCATCCATTTTTTTAATCCATCTAATCATAAAAGTTCATCTTCATTACGTTCTTAGAGAAATTACCAAAAACATACATTGCATTTGTACTCGAGATAGTGACTTGCACAAGATGGATTATTGGTTTGATATCAAATAATCCCCAATCATGTACATGATGTCTACAAAGAAATGGCAACTTAATTAGTCGTCTTTAAATCATGCTACTTTTTTGTTGTTGAATTGTCTAGATAGTAGATAGTTATTTTATGTTGATTTTGTTGATGAAGGAGATTCATTGGTGGAATCTTTTGGGTAGAATTACGGATGGCAATTAAATTCGAACCCAATGGAAACCCACCCTGCCCCGCTATTATTAGAGAGGATTTCCCCGAATTCCCTCCCCAATAATTAATTGTTTTTCTTCTCTCATTTTTCAGAGCACTGGTGGCTGATGGTTGTTGCTTGCTGGTCTGCTGCCGGTGTGCTGCTGCAGAATTTTGCTGGGCTGCTGCTGTTGCAATGTTGCTATGAAGCAGGCTGCTACTAGATGTTAGTCTACTGTAAATTTGGGTTGTTAGTTTCATGTTTTCATCTTGTTATCTGCTGTTTTTACTATGGGTTTACAATTTGGATGTATTTGAGTATTTTAGTGAGTTTACCATTTCAGGTTTTATACACTGCTTCCAAAAGCATATTTTTCAACAGTGTTTTTTTGCCTACACATCAACTTTAGGTGATTTAATATCAATGTTATTAGTTTGTAATAATAGTGCCTGAGGGATGCCTCTTGTAAATATGTAAATCTTATAAAAAAATATAAATGATTTTCAATTTTTTTTGCCGCTACAAATTTGTCGTTACCAAAAAGTAAAGCTTTCTCGATGAACAACTTGTTGGTAAATGTGTGGCCAAAAGTTTATTTTTGCCCACTCATATTGTATTGCTAAAAGTGTATTTTTTGCCAATGCTAATTTGTCGTTGCCAAAAGTAAAGCTTTATCGACAACCAAATCATTGGCAAATGGAAACATTTATCGACGTAAATGTGTCGCTAAAAGTTACTTTTGCCACTCATATTGTGTTGGTAGAAGTGTACTTTTTGCCAATGCCAATTTGTCATTGCCAAAAGTAAAGCTTTAGCGACAAACAAATCGTCGGCAAATGGCAACATTTACCGACGTAAATGTGTCACCAAAAGTTTACTTTTGCCGACACATAAGTTGTTGCTAAAAGTATATTTTTTGCCCATGCAAATTTGTGTCGCGAAAAGTACCACACAATCATCATATTTGAATGGCTTTTACCAACACAAGGTAAATTGCCGACGATGGATGAAGGCTTTTATCGACGACTATGTTCGTCGCTAAAGACATTACTTTTACCAACGCAATGATAATTTCGTCGGCAAAAACTTTTGCCAACTCACTTTTGCCTACGGGTTGCCAACGTAGCTTTGTGTGTCGGCAAAATTCTTTGCCAACGAATTTTCCCTTTTAACAACATATTTTGTTACGTTGCGAAAAATGTAATTTCTTGTAGTGACTACACTTCCCAAAAGATCAAAAACAAAATTTGAAGTTAGAAATCCAGTGAAAATCAAACAAGCAATATAAATTAGTGGAAGCTTAATATGGGTAGGGAAAAAAAATCAAAGAGACAACTAGTTAGAGAAAATCAAGCAAGACACAGAAATAAAGAGAGTCTAATGTGTTCAGAGAAAATTAATTTAAAGGGGATATCTTAGTGCCAGAGAAAATTCATCTCAAAAGGAAAATTACACACAAGGAGACAGCTAATCAGTGAAAATCAAACAAGTGACCTAAATTAGGAGAGTTTAATGTTTTCAAGAAAATTTAAATGCTAGAGAAAATTAAGCTCAAGGAATAATTAACCAGTGAAAATCAAACAAACAACAAAAACTAGTGGGACTTTAATGTGGTCGGGGAAAATTAAAATGCTAGAGAAAATTGGAGAGAAAATCAAAGAGACAACTACAACTAGCTATAGAAAATCAAGCAAGGCACATAGAGTAAAGTGAATCCAATGTGTTTAGAGAAAATTGTGATGCTAGAGAAAATCCATCTCAAGAGGAAAATTACACACGATGAGACAACTAACCAGTGAAAATCAAACACGCAATATAATTTGATGGGTTAGGGAAAATTCAGATACTAGAGAAAATCAATTAAAATTTTGGCCCAAACTCAAAGAAATTTCGACCCAACTTAGAGAAAATTTGCCCACCTCAGAGAAATTCAAAGAAATTTTGACTTAGAGAAATTTCGTCCGACTTACAGAAATTTCACCCAACTCAAAGAAATTCAGAGAAATTTCTTTGATTTTCTCTCTGTATTATACAGAGAAGAGACAGAAGGAAAAAAATAGAATAGTTTCTTATCAACCGTTTAATTCTTCCATCTACAAGGAAAATAATTCACGAACATAATGGAGTCTTGAGAATGCATTGTACTGGCCAAGTATAACAGAGAAGGCAAGTGCAGCAGCAAGGTTTACCGTTGTAAATGCACTTGCTAAGGTTCGAGTTGAGAAGGTAAGTGCAGCGGCAAACACCCCTGCTGCAACTACACTTGCTGAGGTTCAAAAGGGTAGTTGCGGAGGCAAATAGATAGTACACAGTACATACAGAGGGACACGTGGCACCTTCAGCCTGATGGCTCAAGGAAGCATATTCCGTGTGATCCTCTAGGACACATGTCCTTTCTCTATTTGGCCACTTGGTATCCTTTTGGTACCAAGGAAAAGTTTATAAATAGGACCTATTTCCCAAGGTTCAATGCGGGAATTTTGGGGGATTTGGGGGAGATGTTACCCATTTTGGTACTGCCATACATTTCTTCTTGAGGTACTTGCTTCACCCTCACCCAACTACACACTTTCCAACTCCCAAACAGTTGTTGTTACTGCTCATCCTCCAACCATCCCACCATTATTGGACCATTAACAAAGTTTTGCCTCTCTAATCACTTTCCCAACCTTGAACCCCTCTACATTTCTGGCGACTCCACTAGGGAGGCTGCTCTGTTGATGTTTCATAACCGCAGTGGTTTACACATTTCACTGGAAAAAATGGCAGAGGATAAAGTTCAGCAACCCCTATGGCAGCAAGGCTCTTCCAATGGCGGAGTAGCACATGCGGAGAACCATGACCATAGTGTTGTGGTTGAGGTAGTTTAGTCACTCTGGGATACGTAGACGGAGATCCTAGCAGCTTTACAAACTCTCATTGAGCCTATTATTGCCATGGCTTCTAAACCGACTCCAATGCAAGAACCTCCGCCTGAAGCAGTCCCAAACCCAGTGCCTAACCTGCTCCTTGAGGTTCGGGCTCCGATCCAAGTGCCTCCGGTGTACTTCAAGCAAACAGTACAGCCGCTGGTTCAGCTACCCAGGAGTAGACTGGACCATTCCAACCCACTCACTTCATTACTCTAGCCAATGTACAAGCTATGCTCGAGCAAGAGCGCAACAAGAAGCAACTACCATATCTCCCCGACCTAGATGTGAAGCCCTCATACTCTCAAAAGATATTGACCATGCCATACCCAACTGGGTACACAGTGCCTAAATTTATTAAGTTTAAGGCAATACCAGAGAACACGTAGTGAGGTTCATTGAAACCCTTGGTGTCCATGGCAGTGACCACTCCCTGTGCCTTCGAGAGTTCTACAAACCACTTATTGAAAGGGCTTACAACTAGTATGTGAACTTGGCTCCCAACTCGATCAAGAGTTGGGAGAAGATGGTGAACAAGTTCCACACGAAGTTCTTCCAAGTCCAAGAGAAAGTTACAACCCTCACACTTAAGCGACATGTCCAAAAAGAAGGCAAAGATATCCTAGACTATGTTAAGCGGTTCCAAGATAAGGCTATTGACTATCATAAATCAGTGGATGAGGCCCACTTAGTCAGAATATGTGTGGAGAGTGCCATACGTGACTACGAAATTTTCTTGGTGAATCATAATATGCCTCCCTTTTCAACCTTGATTGAGGCAGCTAGGAACCTCAGTACCACTAGTCCCTTGCACAGATCTCGTGATAGCCACTGCTACCCCTGCTGTAGCAGAGTTGTTGCGGTAACCTCTACAAGAGGGAGCTGCTCGCAAGGGGAGGCGTTGTCCTCTCGAAAGAGAAAGAGTTATGAGGTAAGAAATCATATCATTGTAGCCTTGAGAATGTTAAGGCCTTGGTTAAAGAATGGGTAGCTGATGGTGAACTTACTTTGCCTCCGATTGATGTCCCTCCAACCAAGAAAGACAAAGAAAGCCCAGATTATTGTATCTATCATAGAACCACCAGACACCCTACTAGGGACTGTTGGACTTTGAAAAGTATCTTCAAGAAGAAAGTTGATGCAAATGAGTTGAAGTTCAAAGATACCGGTAATCATGATGTAAGGAAGGACCCGTATCCTAATCACAAAGAGAAGGGGAAGAATGTACATATGATTGAGTACCTTGGGCCTGTACGTGATCAAGTGCACATGGCGTCCTACTATGATGAGTTAGAAGAAATTTCTAGTGGCTAACTCCCTGAGACAGTACCTACAAAGGCAAAATTCACAGAGGGCAGTCATGTTCAGGCCTTGCAAAACTCTGTTAAGTTTCGTACCTTCTTTGACCAACTGGGGCTGAGCCAAGCCGCCAGGTTGGAAGCAACAAAGGCTCTCATTAACATCTCCGAAGTGCACCATGATGAAGTTGCTGAGGCTAAGAAGTATGTGCCCCAGCGTATCCAGGAAGATTATGGGGCCATTACTTTTTTAGAAGCAGACAGAGCATACCCATTTCCTCATAACCGTCCTCTTTTTGTCATAGCTTACATCAATGATGTAGAGTTCAAGCGTGCTTTCCTCGATGGTGGGGTGTCCATAAACATCATCACTACTGACACCTTTGCAAAGGCTGGCATCCCAGAGTCCAAGATGGTTCGCCAACCCATTACGGTAACGGGTTTTGGCAGTGAGAAAAAGGTTACTAAGGACCATGTTGTCGTGGACTTAGCAGTTGGTGAGATCCGTTCCGCAACTAAGTTCCATATAATCGAAGTAGACACAAATTACCATATGATATTTGGCATAGCTGGGGTACACCGATATAGGGCTATCCCGTCAAGGTATCACCAATGCGTGAAGGCGAAGTTGGGAAAGCGCACACAAACCATAAATGCGTTTGAAAAGCCATTCGGAGTGGGGGAGGCACACTATTTGGATGTAGTTTTCTTTACTGAGTTGTCAATGGATTAAACTCCAAGGACTGGTAAAGTTGTAGGGGTAAAATTACCGAAGTGGGAAGACATTCGGGATGCAGATGATGCTCCAAAAAGTAGTGGGCAAGAAAGGAGCAACAAGTCCACATGTCCTCCGCGCAAGATTGTTAAGGTGCGCAAGGGCGGCAAGACAGTTTACTACTTATGACGGTCTTGGAGGCCAGACTTCATACCTTGGGAGGATGGCCCCGAGATTAATAAATGTGAAGGTGATGAGTCCCAAGAAAGGGTGGTGGAGACGCCTAAGCCCGCCCCTGAATGCATACTAGATAGAGCCAAACCGTAATAGGAAGTATTTGCTGAGGTCAACCTTAGCGACTTACTACGGCAGAGCAAGCCCGTGTTTATCAGTGATACAATGGCTCTAGCATTTAAAGCATAATTGATAACACTGCTGAAATGATATAGTGACATCTTCGCTTGGACACATGACGAGATGCCTGGTCTTGACCCATCCTTTGTCACTCATCATCTAGACACTTTCCCTAACTCTAAGCCAATCAAGCAGCATGCTTGAAAGTATCACCCTAATCTTGAAGCAAGATTAAGGCGGAG